AACACGTTAGAACAGACAATAATGTGACTTCCACATCTAATCTTATGGATTGGATCGTGACATCGTGACAAATCTACAGTTTCGGGAATAGGTTTATAACTCTAGTAACAAAGACAAATGTACTAATACCAGATAAGACTAGCGAATTTGCAAGTCCATGTTTTCGAATTCCTTGGTCATTCGATGTATTGTATCTTTACTGTAAGAATTAGTTTTACCACTTTGATGAAGTAATGTACAGGTATTTTAGTAATTTTTTTGTTTCTTACATGAAAGCATCATTGTTATGCGTTACTATTGACAGGATCTTCTGTTCTGATATTCCTGAACAAAGAAGCACGTCACCAAGGAATTTAGCTACATTAAAACTGGTTTCCTAGGTAACCTAGTTTTTATACAAGTTCATTCACTGTTATCTACCTAACTTTGCAGTTGAACGAACCGTTGTATGTTTCTTCGGTTATGAACTACCCTCCCTTATTTTTCTTCAGCTGCTCACTGTCTCTTTCGTTACTAATGCCTGAATTGAACTATTTAGTATTACTGAGGTGGAGACGATTTGTAGCTGACACGGATGATTTTGGTGGAGTTTCGTTTTTTGAACTGGATGGTTAAATGATGAACTTCTCGCTGTTCTTTTAAACAACATCACTAAAGCAAACTTCAGGTAGATTATTAGGAATCTTCCCAATTTGACTGACAGCTCTTAGCGTCGACCTTGGTCGTTATTGGTTTTTGTTGGCCTGTAACCTCTTGTTGACTGGATATTTGTTTTTATTGTCCCTCGCTGTGACCTGGTTATTGATTCAATATTTGTCGGAATCTTTGAGGATAGTTATCTGGTCCTTTCTTGGTCGGAATATTTTTATTTCTTCTCAAGTATTGAACTCCTGCTCGTTAACTATTTTGTGGAAAGTGTTTTTTTATTTAGCACGTTAGTTTATGTTAGAGAAATTCCAGACTGCATAGCGCGGACTGTACCGTTTGAGGTACTTTGTATTTTTGATATGATTTATTCTTTTTCTTAGATAAGGACAGTTTAAGTTGAACTCTAAGTTTGTGTTTTGATATAATTTAATATGGGCCACTCAGAAAACGCCTCGTTCGCTATACAGAAAAACATAGTCTGGCCTAATCGAGTAAATTTCGGTTCGTCAGTTCTGTGTTCAAATAGAATACTAGTAGTTCGGTCGTTCCACAGACTTTTACGTTATGATCTAGTGGCTGGTATCAGATGAAATGAGAGAACTATTCAGGAACAGAAAATAAAAGATGTAGCTATCAGCATTTCTGAACACTTTAATCTCTTTTACTGCACTCTCTACCTTAATAAACAGCCTTCCTTATTCTAGCATCTAGTTTCTTTCGAATATTTGAAACTAGTCCACCCTGCTATACATCACAACTCATTGTTTTCTCTTACTAAATTCTTCTAACTGAAGGGTCTGACCACATTTCACTTCAGCAACAGTAGCTAGTATGTTATATCTACTAATTTATCATACCTTTGTCTGCTTCACCAGAAACTGTTAAATATTATTTATAATTTATATCCACTTGTCTTACTGCTCATTTTCTGGCATTACGTTTTTAGTGAACAGCTATGGAGCCTCGCACTCCGAAAACAGACTTAACGTACGCGTTTTTCAAGGTCATAATTCACATTAAATACTCTTTATATGTACCTTACAACAAAATCAAACTTTTTGAAGAGTTGTATTACATAAATACTTAGCAAGACCAGAATCGTAACAGTAATACCGAGTTTGTGCTTGGTGTGCGTTTCCCTAATTGAACGGTGAACTCAATGCCATTTCTGTAACATTCTAAAATCCGCACTTAGTGCAATACGAAAATATAAGCTTACTTATTAACTCTCTGGACATCTGCACGAATGTACTGTCTTTTATCTCTATTGATTTTATTTATTAATCAACTCTTCTTGAGTAGCATCTTATATGCTAACCAATGTAGATTATAGACCATGACTGTAAAAATGGCGTGTACCTGCTGTAGCTGAAAGATATACCATCATAATTCATGCTAATCTTCCCAATTCTTTGTTCTTGCTCTAGTCTCTGCTCTTTTCATTCTCTCGATAGAAAGCTTTTACTATTTTTCAGTTGAACGTATCAAAATTCCGAATTAAATTTTTGAACTGAACTCACGAAAACCAGAATCTTTTTGATTAAGTCAAGCTCCTGAGTTCTTTATGTGGAGCGAAGCTTCCAAGGGTCACTCACAGCCAATGGTTATAAGAGAAAACAAATTCTACATCAATTTTCATGGCAGAATGTAGATATAAATAAGATCCAATGTGCAGAGATCTTGACAGCTATACAGTCAGAACTTTCTCTAGTACAAAAAACGTACTGTACAGCAAAACGTAGTCAATAAGCACAAATGTTAAGTAGCTGAAAATATACAGAAATATGGGTAGAAAAATTATTTTTAGAATTCTGTCAGCAAGATTAAAAGTCAAACAGTGAATAGTACCAGTTAGAAAACAGATAGCAATATAAGGCAATCTCTCCACGCTGTAGCTTTGAATCTAATTGATCAAGACTTCATAAACTGCTGTCTGTCATCATGAAACAACGAAAAAAAATGTTGAGGGTGAATCTGAATCATAGGCAAACAGTAGCGCTCTGGATTCCACTGCTGGCCACAATCCATCTTTCCTTATAGAAGCGGTCTGTATGAAGAAAGCACTAAAACATCAAAAGATGGCTACACGAGTTACACATCGTTGCATCTTATAACACTTTGACTGACTCAATATGTAGAAAATGAACAAACGATTGATATAAAAGCTAGTCTTTTTGAAAACGAACAATGCATTGGAGGGTAGCATGCACTATTTACCGACTCATTGATGGTGCTTTTCTGAACTTATGGAAGCTTGTTAATGTTTCGACATATGAATAGATTTCTTATCAGGGCTAGGAGCTTAAGTTTGTTCATGTATGAACTCACAGTGCAAACACGAACGGCAATGGAGATAATTCTACTAACTAAAAGAATCAAGTCTAATTGAATAATACTCCACCAGATTACTATGCGATCACGAAGTAACTATGAGTCGGCAACATTCAAACGATTGCAATTAAGATTTCTTATAGCCTCAGGTGCAGCGTTAGAAATGAGTCTTACCCAGCAAGAGAAGCAATTATGTCAGCTCTCGATCAGACAGTTCGATCATCTCATAGACAATTATTTGTACAACCTTATATCATGAGAAAATACAGCATTAGGCAGTTATACCTTTAAGAAATATGAGTCAGTTCAATTCAAAGTAAAATAATCAAATTTAGGTGAATGAACATGCAAGTCAAGTAAAATAAATCATCCAAATTCTTAAGAACCGCACATTTAAGGTGACATTGTCTGACAACCTGAAAATGAAACTATAATAACTAATTCCCGTTCCATATACGGCTTATTGTGAGTAGGAAATACAAGCAAAGTTATAGGAATGATAACCTTACAGATAAAGTTATCATGGATTTATATTATTACATTAGGCGTGAATATGGAGCGGTTGTGTTTAACAAGATAATCTATACTTATAAAGTATATACGGCCAATCCTAGAGGGGTATCTCTGTTTATTAGCATAAAGATGTGTTCTGGTACTTATCAAAATTTCTGCTGACTCATTCGGATACAATGAATACAACCAACCACCATGAATTTATATCTACCCGGATAACTGACTAGGGTACACCTGAACTTTCATGGTTGTTAATAATATCACTGTTAGACAGGCATCGGCAGCCTTAAGGGTCGGAAATCAAACATTGATTGCAAGCGCATCGCACCATGTAAAATGGAACTACAAGGTTGCAGTATATATTACCCAGGTCGTGAAATGTATTGTGGAAATAGTAATGACAAGCTGTTCATACAGAACAACATACGATTTGTATTTTTACTCCTAAACACATACCAAACTTCATTATGGAAGTTCGAGGCTACAAAATTATTGTTAGTTCTAAGAACGAAGTATTCTTGTCAATCAGGTGAGGCTACTGTATCCTATTTTAAAAACCAGACAGTCCGAAATTGTCATTCAAAATCAACAAAATTAAGAAGATAGCGACCAAACTAATCGATCAATCAGAAACAATATCAATCTAGACTGTAAAATCTATTGATTGAGTGGAATGTTAGAAAGGTCGAAATTGTAAAAATATGTAATAAGGTTGACAGAATGTGTGATAGAATCATAATAACGAATTCACGTTAACAAATAATAAAAAAGCTCATTGATATCTAATATAGAGCCAGTGAAATGTCACTGAGCCCTAGCCAAATCATTCGGCAGTCGAGCCACTGAATTTCTAACGGTCCACAAATCCTCCTCAAGTTCGAGAACAACCAACGCGCACTTATTTAACGCACGCCATGGTTGCAAATTTTCCCTTGCACCTAATTTTACTGATACATTTATGTATAACTTCCTTTGTGCTATACGATACTCAAAGCAGCCATAGTACCTTGATACGACGACGGAGTAATTCACCGTCAGGTGATGATCACAAGCAAAAAACATTCTATCAAGCATCAAGGCCATGTTCAGGCACAGAACTTATGAGACCCATTTATTCTCCTGGATACTCGGATAAGTAGCGTCACACTCACATACTTCTGTCTACAGTGAATACGCTTGTTCCTCGAACCACCATCTTCTTCTTGCTGATTTATCTTCCGGCCATTGTACTCAAAATTTATTTATAACCACAGGGTTACACACCAGTTCATAATAAAACAGGTTAAGAAGGACTTATTTATCTCTAGGGTAGTTAGTGGAACGTTTTCAAAGCTTTTTGAGAGGTATGTGATAATTCTTACAAGATTTGATCAGTTGTCTTAAGTCTGATTAGCTATAATCTTGCTAGTTTCGATCACTTCACATACCCGGGTCCCCGCATGGCTTATTGCTTCACTATACAAAAGTCAATTGACTGAGAGATTTGTTAATCAGTGTACAATAACATGAGATCATTCAAAACATAAAACATCATATAATACGTTGAGCACGGTGTAATCAGTCAAGGTCGGCCCTGCGGCTTTTTTTAATGTTTCGGAACATTTGAACCATCTGTATATATCTTCTTAAGTGTACACATATAGCATAAAGGGATTTAGCTTTGCTTCTTCAGTAAGTATTTAACATTCTTCTTCATGAATAAGTTTCTAATATGCTAAGTAAGCATTATTGTGTAAGCGAACCCCATGGTTTTCGAAACAACTTATGTCTGTTCTATCAGTTGGTCGACTTCGTTTTTAAGCAGTCGGGATATTCCTGGGAATCCCAGTTAGCAGTACGACCGTTGCCTCTCTGGTCCTTTTGGTTGCAGGTGTGTCGACTGTGTTGACTACCTCATGATGCTTCACGAAACACCGGTTCACTACTTTGCATTACTAAGAACTACTGTTGGTCTTTGGCCTGATCCTTGTTATAATTTAACTACCATAAATATGTCCTGCGTTGTCACTTATTAGTAGGTGTTTGTATTTGAAACGATTTTGATCTATTATTATTTTGTCGTGACGTTACATAGCTATCAATCTGTTTGGATACTGTTCTTGTGTAAACGGGGTGTAATAATAACTTCATATACATGTATAACGATTCCTCAAAACTGCTTTATCGAATTTACATTGTTATCCGGAATTCGAAAACTTCCCGATAATGTTGGGACGACGGGTTGCATTTTGAGTGATTATTTCAATAGCTAACTCAAGCCTCCAAATGCCCTGGTACGGCCGAGAGTGAGGAGAGTCCGCTCTCCCTCTCGAAATGCTCTCATATGGCCACGCGTATACAGCCTCTGCCAGAAAAGTCCTACTCACTGCCTTATCGTGGCATTACTGTTGTTTACGAAATGGAGAGGACGAAAAGCGAGTGTCCGGTGCTTTAACCGGGTTGGTGCACACGGAAAGTCCATCTAGGGGAGTTGCGAACCCTGATTCAAAACCAATGGTGCACATGGGCTCCAGTATCCTGAGGGAACGATTGGCGTATAAATCAAACGTTGGTCACCGGCTACCATGGGACTGCATCTCCTCACGATGCCCACTGCATTGTGGTTTAGACCTTTAGGTCAAAGGCTCCGGGTGTGGCCCTTAAGAAAACCACCTGCTTCAGTTTGGGCACCTGGGCAGTATCACAGCCCTCAAACAAATCGAATGAGATTTGTGAGGCGCATATTATATCTGGTGCTTCCTTGTACCAATATTTATGTGTTCAAATAAATAAAATAAATAACTCAAGGTCGACTCTAAGTTATCTCGGGTATATCGCACAGCGACATATTTTAATCATGGCCAAACTGGAAAATATAGATTACAATTCACTGCGATTCGGTTTAAATTGACAGACCGCGTACCTATCTGTCGTTTTGTTGATATATTTGTTCATTGTTCATCACTCAGGCCCAACATTTGAACTCAGAAAAGTAGTTTAGTTAATTCATAGGGACTTGTAACTTTAGTTAGAAAAGTGTGAGTCGTTTTTTGCAAGCTACAATTCTTTTGTGCTGCCGTCACTTGCCAACGCATTCATCACGGATGTGTTACTTGACATCTCTCGAACAACATCATACACCAACCACCTACCAATGACGTATATGTCAGGTTTCCTCCGTTGTCAAAAAGCTATTTTAGATCCAGAGATTCCCTTAGCGTTTACCAGACTCATGTTATAATGCTATGACCACTGTCAGCAAATATCTTCATTTACTGTTTAAATCAAACGAGGCTAGATAAGTCTAAGGTCGTTATTCTATCCATTGATATATATGTATATATAAGAAGAATGTTGTTTACAATGATGTGTTATAGCAAGATACTTAGTAGATTCACTAGCAGCTTCATGAAGCGTCTTGGTTATAGGCATTAGGGTTTTATTACCTCACTAAAACTTGACACTCATCACTATTCTTTGACGAACAGTTTTCGGCGAGTCTATAGTTTATGGACGATATTTGAGCGGCGCTAAAGTGATTTTGAGAATGTCCATCTACTCACTAGGGTTAAATAAGAGTCATAAACCTGAGTGAAGAATAAAGATTACGATTTAAAGTTGATGGTTACAGTTAAATTTAGAGGTTTCATCACGAACTGATATAAGCTAAAATGCCAAGACGTTATTTAGCTAAATGGATGAATGAATTTCGCGCCAAAATCCGAAACCTGTTATCCTAAATTTGATTGATTCGCCCATAAATTGGTCTCGTTTTTTAAACCTTAATAACTTTGGGATTTCTTGAGAAATCACTGCGTTTGCTGATATTAATTCGTACTCCAATTTCAGCTGGGGTTACCGTCAACTCTACTGTGCTTGCAGCCAGTCGACCACATGGGTTTTGTAAAAAGTGAACAATGAAGAAATGGCTTCAACTCGAAAGTCGAATGAAGATTCCTCAGCTATTCATTCGGATGAGGGTAATTCTCCTATTTTTTCAAAGAAGTCTAGTTTGCTAACGTTTACATAGTTTTGTATCAGAACCCTTGGGAATGTTGATAATGAGTTCTGTTCATTCTCAAGATTTGTCTCACCAATATATATGTAAATTCACGGGTCTAACACATATAAACAGGTTTTTCAACTGATCCAATATGAACCTACCCAGATTATTAGGAGTTGGGATCGATTCTTTAGCCGTCCCCTCACATACCTCCAACAAAACTTTCCCGACAAATCTGCCCGCAAGTTTTTGTTGAGTGCTGCCATTTTGTTTTCCAACAGTTTGACTGGTAGCTTGCCTATCTATAAGCATTTCTTAACATGTTAAAACAAATTGTGAATTGTTCACTACAGCTTATTAATATTTCTAATTAACACGTCCTTCCAGAAGATCTGTAATACTTACAGAGAAGATCCCTTAACAGGCTTAAATCATATTTATTTCATTTGGTTGATTGTATTTTCGATATCTCCTTAACTTTCTCCAGGTTTTTCATCACCGAATTTAATTTTAGGCCTTACATTTCCGTACAGTTTTACTTCACAAACAGTCCTATTTCCGGCTATATCATTCTGTGCGAGACCTTTTAATAATTTTCTCGATTTTGACTACTTTTCTTTGTTCCTGTCTCGTACCTTCTTTCCAACCAATGGATCACTATTTTGAGTTTTCGTGTTAATACTTGACCATCAACGTCGGGGAAAGTCACCAAACCCCTGCATAAATAAGCACTTCTTATGTCTTTGTTTTTGAAATCACAATAGGTATATGTAGGGTTACAAATCACAAAACAGCATTATCGCTTATCATTGTCACCAGTTACTAGAAAAGTTTCTATACATTTTCTCTAGTTCCAGCGTGTCATAATCTTTGCACCATGTTCATATAGGCCCTCACACAAGTCATTAGTCTTGAACTGAGGAATATATGCTCTATGTGATGTATGGATGGCATGCTTTCTCATGAGTTTTCTGTGTTCGAAGTCATCAGTTGCTATCCTATAACACTTGTTTCGATTCTTGTGCTTAACACTAACTTTTTTTACTTATAAAGGCATTGGCATAAACACATTAAATTAGTATCAGAAGGGGTTTTGTGAAGATTTTAGTAAGTTATAGAGTTGAGATCATGAGAGTGGGTTCGTGGATGCGCACTGCTGAGGAGTCCCATAATAGGACGAAACGGCCGTCCAGTGCTTCCAGGTTTTCCATGGTGGTCTAGCTTCAATTGACTCATGATCTCAACTCTATACATTAAATTAGTGTTATGAATGCTTCATTATGGGAAAGAATGCAAATTTAGGTATCTTTAAGATGAGAGGATTTTTCACTGAGTCTTTCAGCAAGATAACCAAAATGTATTATGAAATGATGGAGATCCTTGACTCTGATATATATTCCTGATGTTGCTGAGTTTTTTGAGCTAGGTGGATTGATTATGGAGCTTTCATTGTTATTCTGAGCAACATCATTAAGCCTAGTTGATGTAAAAGTGAGCTTCTCAGCTATTCCATTAGTCTTGAATCAGATTCTTCTGGTGGACTTGATTATGCTTGCTTATCCTCATAAGTTTCATTGTTTTCAGTTGTTTTCACTTGGGTTGACTGTTTTGTTCCGCTGGTCTTTGGTAAGGTTGTGTCAATATGCCTCTTTCAAATGGGTTGATAGATCGTGTCTAATCCAATATGTCTGTTGGTTTCTAATTGTTCTGAACCCCATGCTCCCATTAATCCTCTGACATTCTCTTGATTTATAGTTTCAACGTTTTCACAGTCAAATTCATGTCCATAGTTGTCTACATGCATTAATATCAGTGATAGTATATCGTGTTTTTTCAGTGATAGTTTGTGTTCGTGTATGCATAGGTCAGGAGTGGGGTTCACATTGTCCAACATAATGTTTGTAGCAGTCGGTGCAATTTATTTTGTCTCGTTTGTCTTGCGCTAATTTATCTTTTGATCTTCATGAAATGAACTAGAGTGATTGCATTGGTGTCTTCCTGGTATCAAACTCCTGTTGGCTCAAACTAATTCAGTAACTTTCGAGATCAGTTATGGTGTTGATCTGCTTTGACTTAGTTGCAAACATACTTTACAAATAAACAAAACAAACATAGGATATATCTACAATTAATAACGTAGCATTTACATAGAATATTAGTGTGAAACTAAAACCCTCAACCTTAATTGGTTGATCAAACATTCGCCACCGTGTATTGTTTATCATTCCGAGAATTATAGCCATCTCAATTTACCAGGTAGATAGATTACGAATTAATGAGTCGTAATGTGTAAATTCAGTATACAAATTTTACATCACAATAGAACTGGACTAGTCAGATTGTGTAAAAGATTCAAGTGTACTTGTTTATTTACTGTTGCACATCATTCTGTGGTGAAATGACTCCATTTCTAGTCTGATAAATGTAATAACAGAAAGTGGAACGTTATCAATCACATGATATATGTAGACCTTTTCTGCATAATAATAAAAATAGCCATTACAGTTAAGAAAACCGTGGAATCATACCCAGCGTCTACGAAGTTTACAACATTTCAGGATTAATAATTAAAACTTTGCGACCAACTACAATTTTGATAAATCTTTATTTGATATCAATGATAATTATGTTTATTATTTATATAGATATGCCTCATAAAATTGTAGTACCTTTCTACTTCATAATTTGTGGATTTTAGTACGAAATATACTTCAAGCATTATTCATGTATTTACTAAAAAAATATACTTTTTGTTCTAACAGACTCTCTAAAGTGTATAGCTGAACAACAGAACGTTACACCAAGTAGCTTTATTAGGAGTCAGCCGAAAGTTGATGTTCCGGTTGATTTTTCGAATTCAAACCTAACTGATGAAAACAATTTAAAAGGATCCAGTAATACTCCACAAGTATTTCTGAGTAATTCACTCCCATGTCTTTTCGAAAGTGAGTTACCGTACAATTTTAAAACAATTGTTTAAGATTTGTCAATATTGTTTTTCATTTACCCAGTGAATAATACATCTATTTAGTTTTCTGTTATTTGCCAAATAAGTTCTCTTTGGGTAAGGGCTATTCGCGACATCTTTGTAGTGAATAAATGAACTTGCTTATGTACAATAATCCCTTAAATGACTAATACTTTGGATGTTACCTGAAAAATTCGATAACTACCATTTTAATCAGACATGAAAGTTGTTTCTTTTAGAATAAAGCCTTTATATAACCATGAGTACTTTTGCTATGTGTAACATCTGAATCAACAACTGGTCTGCTAATACGACCAAATGGTGAAAATTCGTACTTGTATCAATGCTGTTACGCTCTTAAAACACGTAAATATACTAATAAGTAACTATGTTATTCAAAGAAATTAAGAGCAGCAATAAAATATATTGGTATTTAAACACTATCCACACCTATACACATTTTTAACTAACAGACGAACTACATTTTATCTGATGTATATTTGTCTTTCTTCAGAGCCCAGAAATACTCGATTTTAATATCTTATGGTGTAAACTATGGTTCTCAGTCATTTCTTGTAGTAATTTGTGAAATCGGTCTTATTACTCAGGGATTATAAAATATGCCAACTTTAAAGTATGACTCATACCTAAGTATCTGGTGAATAAACCAAATTATTTCTTACTATCAACTTTTCATCCCAATTACATTTCTGTATTTAACTTTATCGGCGTAAAATAAGTTTGTAACCATTTATTCTGTTTTCTATATCCATTTATTTCAAACCCTTCACAATTTAAAGGCGTTATATTGATAAATTTATACCCGAAACTGATACATCATTTCAATCTTCGTATAACACGCTGCTTTATCGTAGCAAGGTAATTTAAGTGTGATTTTCACAGTTTACATCACGAACTAATCTTAGTTCGACAACCATTAAGAATCAGAAAGCACTAGATATCTGTTTCATCCCAATTTGGGACTCTTCAGTGGTGTGCACCCATGACCCTGACAGGGACTGAATTCAAAACCTTAGGGCCTGACGGCGAATGAATAACTTTTATACTACTGAGTCAACACCCAATGATATACACGTCCAACTTCGACTAGTTTTTGATATTGCACAACCATCATCGGCTGTCGTGACTATGTGAGGCAGCTACCCGAGGAGGCAATTAAATATGGTTATGCAATATTTTGAACTAATTGAAGGTAAACATGTATATCAATGGGTGCTTACTCAGTGATCTAAAGGTTATTCACTCGCTACCAGACCTTAAGGTTTTGAGTTCCGTCCCTGTCAGGATCATGGGTGCACACTACTGGAGAGTCCCAAATTAGGACGAAACAGATATCTAGTGCTTTTTGATTCCTAATGGTTGTCGAACCAAGGTTAGATCGTGATGAGAACTATGGAAATTCAACAATCTGTATAAATTTCTATAGCAAAAGTGCAACTGTTGTCGGAAATTTTTAATTTTTTTGTCCGTGTGATTGCGTTTCGACCTACATTGTATGCTTTATTTTTTATTTCATATAAACTAAACCTATTTACGATTTCCTTAGTTAAAAGGTTTTTATGAGTTTGTTGGTATCACTACCAAGGTTTCACTCGATAACTTCAATTTAAGTGAGCATTGGGTAGATTGTTAACAAAGATATTATTTTTATTACTAAAATGCAAATTCTTTTTGAAGTACTTGGGGAATTACTACTAAATAATGTCTGGTATGTAGTTAAAGTGTATACTGTTGTAAATGTGTATTCGATACTCGACTTTCTGAAAAGCGAAAAAAATCCACACAATATGTTTTTATAAATGACTGTTCTTCATCAATAACTCTTCAGAGGCTCGGAAAAATAACTTATATATTGGTATTTCGACTTAAACTATCAAATGTTTCCTATTCGCTTTTAAGAATAGAATTTCGTTTGTTTTCATATGATTTTTATTAATTTTGGTGAATATTTCTATTTGGTTACAATTATATACTTTCGTTTGTAGCATCCATATGATTCCATTTTCTTTTCCCCCTACTAGTCTTATTATGTTGGTTCTCAAATGGTTGCTAGCATTGAAATTGGATATTGATGAATGACCTGTCTATTATCTAATATTGAGTGATTTTTAATATGATGTTATTGTCTTAAATCTTATCCTTGTGGTCTGTAGTCACGTGACACTGTGTGTATTGATTGATTCAAAGTAATTGCTTGTAAGCGATATTACCTTAAATATTGTGGGCTTTTTGACAGATGTTGCCTTTTAGTCAGGTATTTTAATTAGCGTTCATAAATGATGACTTTTTGTTTTTTACATGAAAAAAACTAATTGATCGTTATGTTAAATGAAATGGGAATCTAAACATGTTTCATGTTTCAGCTCCGTACGACAGAACTGTTTTAACGTTTGTATAGACAGTTCTGACTTCGTTGTTGGCTGACTGTTTTGAGTTTCAGATGTTCTTTCATTGTAGGAATGCTCCCTTTGCTTTACTCAGGTAGTATTTTGGGCAGTAACCTCTCATAAGGCTGGCCTTTATTGTCTTCACTCCTATCACTGTTATATCTCATTTCTGATGTTATGTAGATGACTTTCCAAGTCTCCCATATTGTTTGGACATCTCATGTAGCTATATTAATCGTTGTCCCCCATTAGGATAAGTTCCAAACAATGTAAACTGATTTCTGTTTTCTCTGGCTTAATCGTTAAGGGAATCCAAGTTTCTGGAAGCTTCTAGGACTTAATCTGTATTAAATATCTTGAATATACTACACTGGTCGGCTTAAGAGTATCATGAAATACTTCAGGATATTCGTAATAATACTTGCCAACTCTCCATGGATTATTTAAAGGGTGTTTCGAATTTTTGAAATCCGTAAGACTGATTTATTAGTTAGAGACTTTAACTTAGTTGAAAATCAGTCTTACTAGTATATATGTATCTATTCCCTATTTCTTTTTAAGTAGCAAATATCACTTATCACTTTTTATCTTTCTGTGCAGTATCAATCTTTATTTTTTCCATATGTTTTTCAACACTGTTATTACTAGTATCATAAAAGTTTTCCAATTTCTTTTCATTGATTTTATCTTGCTATAGGCTGCATTAGTGTATGAATTTAAACTGACAAACTATTGTGCCAATTTCTGGTCTAATTCTATATTTACTGTTGTCAGACCTAAACATATAAAGTGTAATTAACTCCCTTACTTCATTATTATTCACCTGAAAGCTTGAAATATTCAACAAGTTTACTGAAGGTGACTTATATCTATGTATTTGAAGCTATTTCATCTGTTTTAATGTATTTTCACAAATCTTCACTAGTTTGTATTTAGTTTGTTTTAATTTATGAAAAAACCTAATTTATCTTTCAATTATTTATAAATTGGATCACAACTACGCAAGCGTACGTGTGAATAATATTTACAATCAATCTATCGTGAATTTTATGATTAATCGCCTTTACGTAGGGTTCATATTTAAAGACATGTTTGAATTCATTGTATGTTACCCTTATTTTGTATTTGATTTTTGAGAATAATTATTTCTAGTAATAATGACTGCTTGAAAATGTTTTTATTATCTTTCTGTCCATAACCACGTATGACTTTCGTAAAAACAAAATATTTATTACGAAACTATGTTTAGGATCTAGTAGAGTTCAAAAATGTTAACTGTTAACTAAGCTCAAAATGGACTAGAACTTCTGTATATATTTTTTTAACCATGTTGAACTGATATTAGTTTATGAACACGATAATGTTTACTAAGTCTTACTTTACACAGAAAAATAGTCCAGTAAGTTTTTTCTAGACTCCATTAATTCGTTTCATGAAATAAGTTTAACCCATAATATCTTTAATCTCAGTAGTACAGTGACTGATGTAATACATTATTTTTGATTGTATTGTATCTATATAACAGCTTAGAATCCGATATTTGTAGATAGTAAACGCGTAGTGATACATATGAGTAGTTAAATTCAAGCTAAAATGTTCTGTAAACTGTTTCATTTCGACGTCATTCACTATGCTACTAGTAATATTGAAGCTTAATGTTTGTTCTATAGTCTACGGTAGTTTTAGTAAAGAATGGGTTATACTATTAATAAACGTATGAAAATTCTTAGACAAAATTTCTAGAGTGTTGTGTTTTAACGGTGTTTGGTTGACTATTGATTCGGATAAACTTGGGACCTTGTTAGCTGTTATATTTCCGGTTCTACGGTTAAATACTTAAAATCGAGAACCCCTACAATTCCTATGACGAGAAGTAAAAGCATCAAAGATTGATGTAGGTGAAGCTTTATCGACCCTCTAAAAATACGTCGTCAGTGTTGCAACTGCAAATATATCTTGATACTTCGACAGGTAAACTGTAAATCGGATAGCACAATTAAGAACACGAAGATTTTAGACGAGGATTTATATGACACCTTAAATAAATAAAAATGATTTACGAACATACTAATTTTTATATGACTTATTTATTATGATTAACAGTTAGGCTTGTGTTAATTGAACTGAGCAGTATGTAGTATTAATTAATTGATTAATAATTTACTGAATAAACTTAAATATACAATGTCATAAAATTAACCATCTATTACTTACTACTTACTTACGCCTGTTACTCCCTGGAGCATAGGCCACCGACCAGCTTTCTCCAACCCACTCTGTCCTGTGCCTTCTTTTCTAGTTCTATCCATTTTTTGTTCATTCTTCTCATGCCTGTCTCTATTTCTCGGCGTAATGTGTTCTTTGGTCTTCCTCTTCTCCTTTGACCTTCAGGATTCCATGTAAGGGCTTGTCTTGTGAAATAATTGGGTGATTTCCTCAAAGTGTGTCCAATCCACTTCCAGCGCTTCTCCCTGATTTCTTTCTCCAATGGAATCTGGTTTGTTGTCTCCCACAGTTGTTGCTGATAGTGTCTGGCCATCGGATCCGAAGTATCTTGCGTAGACAACTGTTAATAAACACTTGTATCTTTTGGATGATTTCTTTCGTAGTTCTCCAGGTTTCCGCCCCATACAGCAGAACCGTCGGCACATTTGTATTGAAAATTCTGATTTTTGTGTTGGTTGACAATCGTTTTGAGTTGCGGACGTTCTTCAGTTGTAAATATACTGCTCTTGCTTTGCCGATCCTCGCCCTCACATCTGCATCTGATCCACCGTGTTCATCAATGATGCTACCGAGATATCTAAAGGTTTCCACATCCTCCAAGGCTTCTCCGTCAAGTGTAATTTGATTGGTGCATGTTGAGTTGTATCGGAGAGTCTTGCTTTTCCCTTTATTTATATTGAGACCTACTGCTGCTGAGGCTGCTGCTACACTGGTCGTTTTCTCCTGCATTTGTTGTTGCGTTTGTGATAGAAGAGCCAGATCATCTGCGAAGTCTAAATCGTCAAGTTGCATCCTGTCTGTCCACTGTATCCCGTGCTTTCCTTCAGATGTTGACGTCTTCATGATCCAGTCGATGACCGGGAGAAAGAGAAAGTGTGAGAGTAAGCAACCTTGCCTGACACCGGTCTTTACCTCGAATGAGTCGGTGAGTTGTCCTCCATGGACGATTTGGCAGTTTAGTCCATCATAGGAATTCAGTATGATATTGACTATCTTCTCAGGCACGCCGTAGTGTCGAAGAAGCCTCCATAGTGTTGTCCATCTATACCCAACAGATATAACTAGAATAATTACTCTTTAAAATGTGATTGGGAAAATAAATGATTTTCGTTTGCTTACCTCAATCAAATCATTTGTTTCTTTGCTCATTATATCATAAAGGATTTTGATGAAACTAATATGTTTTATATCGAATCAAATTTATTCTAGTTATCTCAGTATATTTTCTATAAATCTATTTCACTTTCATATCCATCTTGTAGAATTTCCTTTTTTTTTACTTACAGATTCTTTGAACTTGAACTCGATTTCTAAATCTCTTCCTGTTTTACATCAAATCAATAATCATACTGTACATTCAGAGAATAAATTGTCGGTACATATTAATGATAAAAATGAGAGTATGTTTATTCAACCTGACAACTCACCAAAAAATATTCAATTAACTAAATCTAATTCAAATGAATCCTTGAATCATTTAAGTACAATGGAATTAATAAATAATTTAAACACTTCTACAAATTATGATAATAAATCTAATTGTCAACCTATAATTGAACCGAATAAATTACTTAATAATATACCAAACACATCAAATGTTGATCCATTATTAATTACAGAATTAGAAAATTCTATATATCATATTAAATGGATTAAATTTAATAATCAAACACGTCCAATTATAACACAAAATAATAATGGTCCATGCCCAATGATTGCTATAGCAAATGTACTTTTATTACGTGGAACAATTAATTTATCAAATGATAGTGAATTAATCAGTGGTAATCGTTTATTGGCTATTCTTAGTGAATTACTTTTATCAAAAGCTCCTAATGTAAGTTTTATAACCATTGTTTTTTTCTCTTTTTTTTTCCCTTGAATTTTGAAAGGTAACACATTATTTGTAAGTGCTTTGTATTAGCTTGATTATATTCTGGTCATATATAGATAAGTGGTTGTTTTTGACTCAATAAATATTGAAGTGTTATAGGTTTATGTAACATTTGTAACACAGAAGAATAAATTACGTTAGATCACAAGTTAATTAAGATTTAAAAATAATATTTCATGAGTATTGGTGCTTTTTTTGTTATAAAGATTTATAAGGTTATAGAACATATAATTTATGAAAATGCCACTCTATCTAGTTAAGGGAAAAGTTCTGCTGAAAAGCTAAACAGAATCTTTAAACATTACGGAATGTATTATTAACTAAATCATCATCTGTAAAATGCCAAAATTCTGTACGTTCTCATTTAATTTATTATTTATTTATTTAAACACATAAATATTGGTACAAGGAAGCACCAGATAAATATGCGCCTCACAAATCTCATTCGATTTGTGTGAGGGCTGTGATACTGCCCAGGTGCCCAGACTGAAGCAGGTGGTTTTCTTAGGGAACCACACCCGGAGCCTTTGACCAAAAGATGTGATCCACAATGCAGTGGAGCATCGTGAGGAGATGCATTCCCATGGTAGCCGGTGATCAACGGTTGATTCGTACGCCATTTGTTCCCTCAGGATACTGGAGCCCATGCGCACCACTGGTTTGGAATCAGGGTTTTCCAACTTCCCTAAGTGAACTCGCCTTGTCCACCAACCCGGTTAAAGCACCGGACATTCGCTTTTCGTCCTCTCACTTTCGTAAACAACAGTAATGCCACGATAAGGCAGTGAGTATAACTTCCCTGACAGAGGCTATATATTCGCTGGCCATATGAGAGCATTTCGAGAGGGAGAGGTGACTCTCCCCACTCTCGGCCGTACCAGGGCATTTGGGGGCACGTTCTCATTTAACTTTCTGACTAACCGGGTAATCAATCAGAATAAAAAAAGAACTGCTTCTAAGTTTCTGCACAAAATTCAGGAAAAAACGATGACTTTTATTTTGTATAACATAAAAAGTTCACTAAGCAAAATGCCTTTTTATAGTGCTTGAGACGCTTGAAGTATTTAGAAAGACTATTTTTGGCATCATCATCATCAAGTCAAAATGATAGTTCTAAATATGTTCTAAATTAGCATCAGAGCAACTCCGTGAGTGTGTGGAGTATTTTCCTCTTTCTTGACCAGAGTACAGCAGCATAACTCTCGTATTTAGCCTTTGGTGTCCAGCTCGTGTCTAATGGGTTTCGCTGATTCCAAGTACTGCCAAGTTGTATCTCCTCATTTCCATTGCTATTTGACTGGTGTTCCCGGTCTCCCACACCGTGTGGACGTTCCATGTACCTATGTCAATTGTTTCTCTGGTTGTTAGAAGGTGCATCGGCCTCGTGACTTCTGAAGAATCTCGGCTTTCACCATGAGGCGTTGGAATTCTTGCTTCAACTCTGAGGGCAAACTTTAAATGGTTTTAATTACTTTTTCTGGTTGGCTTTTATTTAGCGAGTTAGTTTTCTAGGGGATGGGGTTGCTAACCCCATGCCGGACCCGCCTCCTTTACTCGGGCTTGGGACCAGCAGTAACTCAAGAAGAGTTACAGGCGGACGTAATTGGTGGTGCAGATAAAATGCCAATATAGTTAACATTTTGCTCAGATAATTTCTTACCTTTGTCTTCTTACTACAGCTCTAAAGCTCTCCAACAGATTTTATTGATAAATTTTTTAACGATGTTGAATTTTATTGTTCAGTATAAAAAGGATTTAGAAAGAAACCTTTAGTGTGGATATACTGTTTATTACTTATTATTTGAACACATAAATATTGTTACAAAAAGGCACCGAATACATATGCACCACACAAGTCACTTGATTTGTGTGTGGGCCGTGATACTTCCCGGGTGCCCAAACCGAAACAGGTGGTTTTCTTAGGGGGCCACAACCGGAGCCTTTGACTTAAAGGTCTAACCCACAAGGCAGTGGAGCAACGTAAGGCGATACAGTCTTATGGTAGCCGGTGACCAACGACTGATTCATACGCCATTTATTCATTCACGGTACTGGAGCCCATGTGCACCATTGGTTTGGAATGGTGGTTTTCCAACTCCCCTAGATGGACTTTCCGTGTGCACCAACCCGGTTAAAGCACCGGACATTCGCTTTTCGTCCTCTCAATTTCGTAAAAAACACCCTCGCTACGATAAGGCTGTGGTTGTACTCACATGGCCATGTGAGAGCATTTTGAGAATTAGAGCTGACTCTCCTCACCCTCGGCCATACCAGAGCATTTGAGGGCGTGAATATACTGAGACTCAGATGAATGATGTTATGTAGTGATATTTCTACAATAATAAAATCGGAATACTGACTATAGACCTTGACATATTAACAAGCGAACCAATAAACTGTAACAGGTTTCATTACTTCTTTTTCGAAATACTTTTGATTCATGAAGATTGCTTATTGGCTAAAAGGCAATCTCTAAATCTCAATGTCATTTTGACCTCTGTTTGTTTGTCCTTGTATTGCAATTTTACTAATCTGTTTTATAAATTTCTGTCATTTTCGCCATCTGCAAATGCACTAGCAAATAAATAAAACTTACGTATTGCGGCTAATTATAACCTCATATTAATTATTTTTATTAAATATAACAGTTTAACAATATTATGAAGTGTTAAATTCAGTTTATTTTCCTCCATTACATCAAGGTTATTGTATAACTTCGTTGCTTACTTGTTTGTTTTTGTTTGCAACATTTTAAGATATCAAGTCATTCTTATTTTATTAGTCTAGTGTTAATTCAGTTTAGCCAGGCTTTTTTAAACAGTACGGTCAGTCGAGCTCAGTTAGTAAGATTAGCTTGGTTATTTATAAAAGAAATCATCGTTGTTAGTATGTGAATTCCAATCCTTCCGAGTCTAGACACATGTAGGAGAGAGATTTCTTTTCTTAGTAGCACATAAACTACTAGTACTCAGAATCCAGTCAGCTTGTGTTGCCTAAGATCCAGGGTTTGGTTTACTGCCGAGCTTGCTTGTCCCCGGGTAAACTCACGCGGGAAAATTTTAGAACTGATAAATGAAGAGCAAGCCAACAGAACGGTATTATGATAGTCAATACGTATTCCTAATGTAAAGATACCTTTGAAAAGTTCTAATAAAACTTTGTTGTTAAAGCATCGTCCAAATGACAGCATTGATGTGTAAAATTTAAGCAGAACATATCGTTATAGTATAATTCCCTAAGATATCACAGTGTTCCTTAAAAGAGGAAATAGTTTGACCACTTCAAAGATAACTCCCAACTGCAACGGTTAACTGAGTGACGTGAAAATTTAAATAAAAGGGAGAATGATTACAAATCTCATGAAAGTAAATCTCATAGGTAATACAAAATAGACTAAGTGCTTGCAAAAGTTTCCATTCATATTCTTTTCAAGACTTTCACGATTTATTTGAAAATTGAAATTACGTGAGCACTTAAACCGTAGCAATAGTTTATTTTAGCAGACCACCGTAGAACTTTTACTCAAGGGTTTAATCAACAGAATAGGAAATGGAGACGCTCTGCACAGTAACATAAGGCTAGAGTAATTCCATACGCTAAAATTCCTTTCAGAGCCTTGAAGTCTGTATGCATTGTTAGTTCGGAATCAGGGTTTTTAAAGTCCCCAAAGTAGTTCATCTCAAACCACCTATCTTCTGTAAGCATTAAGCATTTACTTTTTTCTGTTTACTTCTGTATAAACCCCGTCGTTACATCAGTCAGTCGGTCACAACGTTCAAGTCGATATGCTCCATTAGCATACCTCGATCAAATTGTCAGATCAAATCCAAGAAGAGTAGAGGTAGTAACAATATCAGTGGTAATAGGAAAGTTTAGACATCGACGATACGACTTGAAAAGAAAATCCAAATTAACGAAATAAAAACAAGAAAAGTTATGTGGAATCAAGAATGTCAAGATTTGGGGGATGACAAAGAATGAATGCACCTTCGCCATTCCAAACGATTTTAAGCCATGTCATTCAAAGTCTCTAACCATTGGTTACGATAATCACGCGGACCCCAACCAGGTAGTCTGTACCTATTAACATGACTGAATTCAATTGTCAATGACTTCATAGACTGACGACATGTTTTTGTTTGGCGTCTCCAGCTTTCTTCTAGCATACTCCTATGCCAGAAAACATCGCTCATCGATGTAGGCGATGGTGGGGATACATGACACATGTCCCAACCACCTCAGTTGATGAAGATTTACTATCTCATCAGTCGATTTGTCTTTTTAATATAGTTTATGGATTCTGAACTGATGGATGTCCAGAAATTATACTTCTGATTTGTATTAAAGTCCTACAAGACGAGAGAACTAAATTTGTTTTAAAGAATCAATAAGTCATCCAACCTTTCTGTTTCAATGGTTATTGATCAACGAGAAATTTTAGTGTTGCCGTGAAACAGGTAAAATGGAGAACTAGATATCTAGGAAATATTTTGTTAGTGTAAGCAACGATAAAGGTCTTGTTGAAATCCTTGGGTGTAATATAGGTCAGTAGTCGACTGTTATGTAAAACTAGTTAAACTACTATACACAGTTTAAATGCAGGTGAATATCACAATAATATTGGTAGTTATCCTGATGTTTATTTCTTACGTGTTTTCGATTTCAACGTTTATTTTGCATTGATGCTGTACCGGCTTACTTTTTTTTAAAACTAAATATTTAAGCTGCGTTCATCTTGGATGTATTGTGTGCCAGGTTCTGCTCTTTATATGACTGATTAACTTGGATGTATTGTTAAAAATCAGTTTGCTATCCAGCTTTTAATTTTAATTCTTTTTTTTTCGAAAAAAATCCGTAGGATCTTGATTACGACCAACAAGTTAATTATGAGTCAAATTTCCGTGATGTACTTTGCTTATTTCCCAGTTTACAAACTGGACTTGATATAAATATCAGGTTTACCGGGTAAGTAAACTATTTGTAATGGTAATAATAATACTATTTTTATGTATTCGTTTTAACTTCATTTATACTAAGGAAATTGAATAACTAGGTAAAACTAATCATCACCTTTTCATTAAACTCACTGTCGGTAAACCGATGGTTGATTACAAAACCTCATTTACAATTAAGCATGCTGAAAAAAATGGTTATATAGTTCCACTAATCGATTAGATACTACTGAAATCTCTAAAATATGTGGCGGAAATTTGGAGTTATTAAAGATAGTTTTGAATATATGAAGTTTCTATAGGTTACAATTTAGCTAATCATTTTATCTAATGAATAATCGAGCATTTCAATTAATTCGCCTCGTTTTAATAATCCTATCGGCTAATATGTTCTTTTTAAATAAGTAAATAAGACCTTATGAAAAACTCCAAAATTTCTATTAAGTAACAACTGTGACCGATAGAGTTCAGCTATGTAGTGAATGTGACGCTTATCACCCACATCAATATTACAAACCAACTGAAGTTGGAAATATGGATCACTAGGTTTTAAGTTCAGTAGTCGTCCTTAGTTAGCATGCTCAATGTAATCCGTGGAAGAGTTGAGTTTAAAACTGTTATATGGGAGGATTTTATGAGCATGATTTTTGGATTATCAAATGAATCAATCCAGTGCTGTTCTATGGGTGATATACAGTGATACTCAATACTATCTATTTATTTATGTGGCACACTTTTTGGTGCTCTATTATATGATTTGTGTGTATTAAATTAAGAAAAAGTTTGAAGATCCGTATGCATTTATGTACAGTACGATTGACTGGTCATGCTCTCAGTTACATCAGTAATTAATAACCTTCACATTTCAGTTCGTCATGTGTTTATTGTCTAATGCATACACGAATATTGAGTATAGTTGAGCCCTATTTGCTAAGAAACAAATGTCGAATATGTTTGTATTCAACTATAAAGACGGATCTTGTTTAGTGAGTTCAATAAAAACGTAGATCTGTAACCTTTTTTTCCTCAGTGAAGTTAATTATTAACTTAACATAGTCGCGTTGAGTAGCTGCGTATAATAGCCATGATCAAACACTTTTTCATAGTTTGTTTTCACTATTGAATAATACTGAATGTGTAATACCGTTTATTCAGTAGTCCTCACATGTTGCATTGTCTTTCTATCATTAACAGCCCACATGCTCATTGATTTAAACACTTAGCTTCTAACAACCACCTACTTAGATTAGCTTAACCGGATAGTATAATTAGTTTTGAAGTGGTAGGTGTATTATCAAATCACAGAGTATCCGAATGTTTTGCTAGTCACACTAAGTTCAACATGAGTTATAACTAGGACTCACCTATTTAAGCACTCAAGTATGAAGTCACACTGACTAATCTATCGGATAATAGTAATTGAATTTTGTTTTAACTTTGTGAATATTTGTTTCAATTAATCTTATAAGTATATTGTTATCTCCTTACCTATTTTATAAGCGTGGCAGATTTTGAATACACTTCGACATTAAGCTTATTTGATTTGTTCAACATACACATTTATCATGGTTGGCTTGTGGATCCTGATGAACATGATTTAGCTGCAACTGTTGGTAATAGAACTTATAATCAATTAACTGAAGAGTTACTCCGACTAGAATCATCTGATAATGATGAGGATTTAAAAAGAAGTAAGTGGAATATGTATGCCGTTTTTCTACCATTCAATATAGATAGTATGTAATCCTTTTTTGTATGAATGAATAAGAATTCATATACTAGAAAGCGTTAATGTATGAATAAAAGAAGTATTCTCTTATGGTCAATAAATGTTGAGATCTCTGCTTCAGTGTATAGGAATATTGCTTGTGGTGTGTAACTCACCCTGTTTCGCAAGAAAGTATCGATTGTTTGTTTACGTCTCGATAAACCTAATCCAATTATCATTATTCAGTTTCACAAATATTTTCATAGTGGATTGAATTTAACGTAGCCTTAATGAGTGAACGGATATCCATATCTATATGGATGATCTAACCCATGACCTTGAGTTCTCATGAAAAGTTCATTGCCATTGAACCAATCTGTTTCAGTTCATTGGTACACATTATCCTACAGAATTTATGTTGGGATATAGTGTGTCCCTCATCTAATGTTCTCGGTAAGCGTCAACCTTTCAGACGACTTAGTTGACTCTACAAGATTATGATTTACCACTCAAAACGCAAAGTATCCATTTCAAAGCATTTCACTCATAAGCACTGGTTAGTTACTTCACTAAATCGCCTGTGAATATTCAGCTAAATTTATTTATTTCTTTTTATTCTAATCCTTACCTATAGCTGTTATATTACTGTTATCTGTTAAAAAGATTGGTTTGGTACTACTCCACTATCATACAATATATAGGAAATAATATTTTCTTCATATTTAAACAATAGGTATACTTGTTGAATGGTTTCTAAACGAAAGCGGTTCACAGCTATCTTTTCATGGTCTAAGCCAATTAGTGACAACTTTACACGATGAAGAATTGGCCGTGTTTTTTCGAAATAATCACTTTAACACCATATTAAAACATAAAGTAAGATTTAAATTCATTGTTTTAAATATGTGAGTGGCCTCATGTTAGTTTGGCTTAGTTAAATCTCGTGACTGATATTTCATTATATATATATATATATATATATATATATATATATATATATCGATTTCGAAAGTTGTTTCTAGTCATCATGTGTCACATTCCATTGTGTAAAAGAGAGCGAATATTGAAAATCTCTATCGATCGACATGCACTAAGATTTAGCATGATATGACCGAGTAATAACTATGTACTATTCCAAACTAAATGAATACTAGAATAAGTAGCTACGAGTTAATTTTTTGATGGAACGAATCAGTTACTTGGAGATAGAAAAAAATATTAGACAAGGATTATTAAATATAATTTTTATAAATAACCACCTGTGGAATATATTGCATGTGGAACTCATGGGTTATCCTGTGGATTTAAGTCTGCGAAACAACTGGTGGTTTATTCCTTAGAACAGTAGTTTAATGGTAAGGCATCCAACTTTCAACCTTGTTAGGCCTGGGTTCGAATCACGCTCCACCTACTTCTGTTCAGGAAACGGGATAGTATTACTTTCCCCCACACTTAGAGTATGGCTCATACCCAAAGTATCTGGTGAATCAGTTAATCTGGTTTAATTAATTTGATTAAAACAACCGACTTCAATCTATGGGTTCTAACCTGGACATACGTTTTTTCTCATAGAAAGCGCTAATTGCTATACCTAACTACTGCTCTTGGCGCAAATTGCTTATTGCAATTACAGGCACATAAACATGCAAGTAATCTCGGATATACATCTAAAAATTTAAAATTCATAACTTAAACTGGTTTAATATCGACAATGTTTCCTTATTGTCGTGCTTTTTCCTTAACAAATGCTCGTAGTGTACATTTGTAAAATTATCTAAAGTTTAACGTTCTTGAATATATATATATATATATATATATATATATAAAGAGTACTCAACATTTGAGTTCACCAGCCAATTAGTAATTTTTGTGTAATAGATACGTAATAGAGTTTTTACAATCAGTTTTAGACAAAAGGAATAGATTTTTTATCCCAATTTCTATTATCTCGGTTGTATGTCAGATGCGAAATCCAGAAGTGTACAATAAATTGAGTTGAACACAGCGGTTAGCTTTGAGTATTTTCAGTTTAGTGACTTGTATGAACTAACTAAAATTACACGACTAGAACTTCTTATTTTTTCTCTGTCCTTTACTCAATTATAAATTAGGATATTCAGAAATGTGATAATGAACTCACCTTATATTATATTATGTGGCCAATGTAACTTGCTTCATAAAAATAGTTGAATTAATAAATACAGATATATGTTTTATTACTAACTTTGGTGGATATCCATCTCGACTAAGTAAGTAGATCACAAATAGTTTTGAGTTCCTTTTGGAAAGTCTTGTCGAAGCAATTTAATTTAACACTGTTGACCAAATACCTAGTTAGATTGTGTTGTAGTGAATGCTGAAGCCTAATAAATGGATTTAAATGTCGTTTTATTATTTAATATGATCTTGTTAGTAGGAAATCGAGAGGCGAAACGATACCACTTTTTTTCTTCTTTCATTAGGAAATGTGACTGCTTAATGAACTCTAGTCAATTTATGTAGTCAATGTATGATACTTCATACTTGTTTTTCAAAACTAACGATGTATTATTTATGCAGAGATAAAAAGACAGCGTATATTAATAGCCTAAACAACTTTTCTAGCATTTACTTGGAAGTTTACTTCACTTGCTCTATGATTTGAATCTTCAGTCCATTATCTCAGTTTTTATTCTTTGTGAACTCTCTCTCTCTCTCTCTCTCTCTCTCTCTCTCTCTATATATATATATATATATATATATATATATATATATATATGTATATATGTATATATATATATATATACTTTTATTGAGTACTGTTTTTGTTGTTTTCTGTTCAACCAAGTATTAATTTAAATGAGTAAATATATACTACGTTTTTGTAAAATAGTAGCATATAACAGAAAAAATCCTAATACAAGCAAGAAATCCAATTAACTATTATTGTTTGAATTCTTTGGTTAAAAGTTCAGATGTCTTATTTTTTGTCATTTTCAATATATTGAAAGATGTTTGTTAGTTTGTAGAGTTGATTCACACCCAGAAAAGTATGTAGGTACTTCATCATTCTGACAATACAATAAATGAGACTGATAGATCCTGGGTTTGAATCTCGCGATGCGTGATCGTGGATGCGCTGTCCAGTGCTTCCAGGTTTTCTGTGGTAGTTTAGCTTCAATTGACTCCTGATTTCAACTATAAAATTACCAAAATCTCCACAAAACCACATTCTGATAATACAATAACTGTAAATCAGTTTTTTTTTAGTATAAATTAGAAATTTGTCAAAATTAGAGACGCGTTCAACTAATGATGAAATTAAATTTGTTTTAGAATTAATAATTTCAGAAGCAAATTCATATGAAGGAGTTTTCGGAAAATAAATTTATTTTTGTTTATATTAACTATTATATCAAATGTTAGATGAATTTGTAGTAATTTCTTTTGTTCGAAGATACTTATCATAACGAACTGGCATCAATTTGAAAACATTTAAAAGTCGAAAAGCACTAAATATGTGTCATTATTTCATCCTAATTCGAAACGTCCTGATAATAAATATTTGTGACTACACGCTGATTGGATTCTGTATACTCCTTGATATTCAGTCGTTCTTCAGTTAATAACTGTCTATATTCTGGATTATCTTCACATTAAGCATATAAATATCCACAAACTATCAAAATTTTGATATGATGGGCAAAAATCAGACGTACCACTTAAATGTTAATTCGTTAGAGAGTGAGTGACTTATACAAGTGAATCCTTCCAATCTTTTATCACATATAGTCATGTTTTTTTGTATTGATATTTTGTCTGAATGTATAAAGAAAATATTCTTCCGGATAGTGGTTTTTTCTTTGATGCCAGTCAGTTTGAGGGTGGTCGATATTCCATCCTGGCAAGTAGTTATCACCTCCTTGTTGTATAATCCTACTAATCTGCCGATCAATATTTTATTCTCTCATTTCAACAATTTGAAACTTTTGCACAACTCATTGTTCCTAATACATAATCCGGTGCTCATGAGTGACAATCTTTGTGAATAAACTTACGGAGTCCCAAGAGGTTAATTTCGTTTTTGAGATCAACCAAATTGGAATTGGGCGATCACTCCCCCATACCACTTTATGGTTGCGCTACATCGTAAGTTAACAGTCGTTAAAAAGTGTGTATCGTTAGTTGTCGTCTCTAACCTACTATGGTCATACTTGTCTTCGGACATGAAAATCCTATATATTTTTTGTATTATCGCTAGTGCAAAAAGCATTCAATTCAAACGGTTATTCAGTACTTCCTGATGTCCACTAAATCTCGATCTGACGTCAGCGTATGATGAGAATTAAACTACCTAATTATTAGTTATTTCCCTCTCCACGTCACTTTGATTACAACGTGGTCTCACCACTCTAATTTATGCTACTATGACGCCATATTTGACTTGTTGTTTTCAGTAAATTTTCTCCAAACAGAAAAGTATCGAGTATTTTATTTTTTTTTCATAGTAATGTGGTTAAAATTATTGTATTTCTTAGGCAAAAAGAAACTGATTGATGTTAGTAACTTTTTTTGTAAATCATATTTATTTTAGGATTCAATATTTGTATTAGTCACAGACATGGGTCTTCTCAATGAACCAAATATTGTTTGGGAGTTACTAAATGATTTAGATGGTGATACACAATTTGTTGATTGTTCATTTCAATTATTTTGTCCAACAACATCTAATTCATCAGTTCGAAAAACGTCTGATGCTGTTCGTGTTATTACAATTAAATCGGATAAGTTGGATTCAAAATCTAAAACCGATTGTAAAAATACTACTAATAGTAGTAATAGTAAAGATAATTTTGTTGAAAAACAATGCTATCCTGATTCCATACCTGTGTATAATTTCACTGAGAGTAATTCAACTTCATTAGAGTGAGTTTTTTTGATTTTTCATGGAATTGAAACAACACAATATCGTTTTCAATTAGATCTTCATAAGGCTTTTAAAAACTTTTGTAGTTTATAATTTTTACTTATCATGTTGATAGTTATTAAATCATGAATTGATTTTAGCTAGAACACCGTTGAAAGCCGGGGAACACGAAATAACCGTTTCATCTTAGTATGGGGCTTCTCATTGGTACACACCAATCCCAGGTCTCTCAGCCTCGCGTGCGAACTCTTAACACCGTTAGACGCCACCACAGTAGTTTAGGGGTTAAGCTTTCGTGTGCGAAACCAGTCCTGAGTCCAATCCCATGTCGCGGATGCGCGCTGCTGAGAAGTCCCATACTAGTACAAAAAAAAGTCCACTGCTCCCAGATTTTTGATGCTTGTACAAATAAGATCCATTGTGCGATTTAATAACTATGATAATTCCACAGTTTCCAAAAACCCTTTACTGATTATCATTTTTATTTACGTAATCTGTTTTGTGGTTATCATTGACTCATAAACTAACTGCCTTGATTGGTTTAGTATATGCACATAAATATCACTGCGCATTAGAGTAATAACTACTTACTTACTACTTACGCCTGTTACCCCTCGTCGAGGAGCATAGGCCGCTCACCAGCATTCTCCATCCAACTCTGTCCTGAGCCTTCCTTTCCAGTTCTTTCCAGTTGCTATTCATCCTTTTCATATCGGCTTCTATTTCCCGGCGTAGTGTGTTCTTTGGCCTTCCTCTTTTCCGCTTCCCTTCCGGATTCCAAGTTAGGGATTGAGTCGTGATGCACATTGGTGATTTCCTTAATGTATGTCCGATCCACTTCCAACGTCTTTTCCTTATTTCCTCTTCAGCTGGAAGCTGGTTTGTCCTCTCCCATAAAACGCTGTTGCTGATAGTATCCGGCCAGTGGATGTTGAGTATTTTGCGTAGACAACTGTTTATAAATACTTGTACCTTCCTGATGATGGCCGTAGTAGTTCTCCACGTTTCAGCTCCATACAGTAGGACTGTCTTGACGTTCGTATTAAAGATTCTGACCTTGAAATTGGTTGAGAGTTGTTTTGAGTTCCATATGTTCTGCAATTGTAGAAATGCTGCCTTTGCTTTGCCAATCCTTGCCTTTACATCTGCATCCGATCCTCCTTGTTTATCAACGATGCTCCCCAGGTACTTGAATGTTTCCACCTCTTCCAGAGTTTCGCCATCAAGTGTGATTGGGTCGGTGTTCTCCGTGTTGCATTTGAGAATCTTGCTTTTTCCTTTGTGAATGTGGAGGCCTATCGATGCGGAGGCTGCTGCTACATTTGCTGTCTTCATCTGCATTTGGTCGTGTGTATGAGAGAGGAGGGCTAGGTCATCTGCGAAGTCCAAATCATCTAATTGATTCTGAGAAGTCTTGTATTCCATATTTCCCTTCAGATGTCGAATTCTTCATAATCCAGTCAATCACTAGAAGGAAGAGGAATGGGGAGAGTAGACAGCCTTGTCTGACTCCGGTCCTTACTGGAAATGCATCTGTCAGCTGTCCTCCATGCACCACTTTGCACTGTAATCCATCGTATGAGTTTTGGATAATGTTGACGATCTTCTGAGGAACTCCATAGTGTCGAAGAAGTTTCCACAATGTTCTCCTAGAGTAATAAAGCCTGATAAAAATCTTATTGAAAATAATGTGTTGTTCGAATTTAAAAAATAAGCATTTTTAACACATAGAATTATATTAATCTGGGAATATTCATGCAATAGTACATATTTTTATTTTCAGTTGTACAGTTTATAAAGAAAAGTAAACTTAGGTAGTCGTATAAATTGAACTAGTATTTGCCAAATTATTGATCTATGAATCTATTAACTGTTTTATTTATTGATAACAAACTGTTTTGGTCCAATTGGAGAAGATCGAAACAGTATCCCACACACAATAGAATGATAATTTTGTGAAGGAATGGATAACAGAGGACGATTGTGCAATCAAATAGTAAATGAAAAACAAATGTAAATGATATTATGTACATTTCAATTAAAAATTGTGAAGCTGATCTAGAAAACTTCTCGCAAAAGACAAGAAAGGATCAGGAAACAAAGAAGCATTTTATCCAATCAGCTTTCACTAGAAGTTTTGCCTGAAACATCATGAAAGTGTAAAGTCACATGTAAAGTTTCTGATTGTCTGGTTACTACACTGCTACTATGATTAGTAGCACTTCAAGATTTACAGGAAAATGCAAGGACTTCTAAAATACTATAAAAACCCTATATTTTCTGTCCATGAATGAACCCTTGGAGTAAAGTGCTTGTCGCATGTTTTGCTCCTTTTCTCTCGTGTTCAAGTTGCTGTGTAGTTTTAGCTTGGGGTTTACGGGAATAGCCTAGGAACCGAGTATAGCGTTCAATTAGCAAGATTTATCAAAAATGTAACGAAGATGGGGAGAGGGGGTCAAAAGTCTTAAGGACTGATCAAAGATACTCTTGTTACCTTATTGGTCTCCGATAGATTTGATATTATTTCCTTGAAGAAGTGCAAACTTGTTGGAACTGTTTGATTTTAATCACTGAAACTTAGGCAAATTTCATTTCATAATCTTTTCTACATACTCGGCACCCAACATTTACGAGAATTTCTTGTTCAAATCGTGTTGCAAGTTCATGTTAACAGTATTCCGTACTTTTACCCTAATGAACAATTATTATTAGAGGGATAATCAAATGATACTTTTCACATTTATCTTTTGACTATATCCGTCGAAAATTAGGAATTAGTTGCTTAGTTAACAGTGTGAGGACACACACACATACTTTCAATCTGACGATTTTCTATTGTTGTTTTCTCAGTTTTCATTCGTATTGAGAGTAATACTGATATAGAGTCACTACTCTTCGGTAAATTTTTGTCGAGTGTCAAAATTAACGCCACAAAATTCAGCCCAAAAGTTTGGAGAAGAAGTTGTACGATGAGGCGTTCGGGTTTTCTTTTCATAGATAATGATAAGTAGTAATGTGACAGATCATTTTTTGATTGTGTGACTGCAGATGGTACGACTGATTATCTGAGTCAATTCGTTTTATATACTTGACTGATAACTGACCATGTAAAATCTGAATTATTGGCTTAAACCTCCGAAGTGCAGATAATAGAAGACAAGAAATGATACATTTCTACACTAAATGTCTACGATTAAAATTGATTTAAAAAGTAAATGATTATGTAACTCTTACTAACCTATGAAATTAAGACATGATTATCAAGTTTACATGTTGCCCGTTATATCAACTAGGATGTCCAATTAGTGCAAATGTAAAGCACAACAGCGAGAAGGAGGAGTGTATTTATTGTGAGAAGTTACAAAGTACTCATATGATACATTATACATAGCCTTCAATCGTCAATTTGCATCTTTCGGTGTGTTCTGTCATCTGGACTGTATTCTCGTCTGATCTCGAAGTGTTCTGCCAACGTCGTGATCTCAATGTACTGAAGCTCTTCACGCCGTATGACAGTTGTAGCAACTTTCGACGTCGTGTCCTTCTAAACACTATTTATAAACAATAGTATGAGTAGAGTTCACTACACAAGGAGTAAATTTTCTGAATCGTAGAGCGTTCAGCAGAGTAGTTTATTATGGTCCACTTTATAAAATTATAACTTTTTTTGAATTGTTCAGTACAAAACTCTATAAAAAATTTTCGAACCTGATAATAGTATTTTTCAATAACTTATATTTTGAGTAAATACCCTGGAATGAGGCACATTAATTCATCCTCCATCGATTTGTTCTCAATAATTTTCTTTGGTTACATTTTAGTTATGATTTATGCAAAATGCTTCAAGAAGAAGAAATCAGAGCTTCGAATCAAGATCCGGAAACATTTTGGAAATTATACAAATGAAATATATACCTCAGTAAGTAGGAAAATAGTAATTTAAAATAATTACTGATCAATTGTAAATAGTTTATGTTATTATATTGCATAAACGGCATTGTAATTTAAGACGTTCGTGTTGTTTTAGGGGTTAGGTTGAATTGGTCTGTTGGAAAAATTACTTTTTGGTTAGTTTATATACTTTCATTACAGTTTAGCTTCTTTTAAATTACTCAATACTCTAAGACATGATTCAAATTAACTTGTTTAGCTTTTTGTCTACTTTAATTTACATTGTATTCATTTATTGAATAATAAACATCTTATGAAGTAATATTTTGTATGACAAGATATTCTATTTTGTATAGAATATGTTGTTTGTAAATATGTATATTACTGTTCATAATTCTTATTCATATCAAGTGGAAGATTTATTTTAATCTGATGATTGGACTTGACTCTCACAGTGGCATCATATGAATGAGGATTCTACTACTTTTTTGTACTCCACTATTTATACGTACTAACTTATTCAAGTGTGAGTCTGTTTATCAACAAGTCGACCATCATCATTATTAAATGATTGTCGTAAGCAACGTAGATCCTGTTAAGTGTGTCGACTGTTCATGTTACCACATGCCATTAGTACTGCGTAATGAAATTGTCAGGGTAAGTACAAGAGTAGAAGAAGTAGTAACAGTACCAGTAATAATAAAAAAATGTTCGAGAAGAAAAATATAAGTTAGTGAAATGGAAAGAAACTCATAAAAAGTTAGGTAATTTAGAAATTTAAAATCTATTGGAAGACAAAACAAATGTACCGACGCCGTTGTGATCGATTTTGAACCATATCACCCAAAGTCTTTAACTATCTGGTTAATATAGTCGGGCAAACTCATTCGTTGATTGTAGGAAATCATTTCCAAACCTGATAAGTAGTAAATAAAGTCATAATAGATATGAGGCCATTTTTTTATCATAGGATTTTAGCTTCCATGTAAGTAAAAAATTTGACATCAACTTTCGTATGTCTTAAATGTGAAATACTGGCACAGAGTTTGCTTTCAGATAGATATTTTATTAATAAAGACTATCGAATTTTCCAACCTACAACTGTCATATTTTATCATTCAAACACGTAAAATAACAACATTCTCGTATGGTATCTGTGTTAATCTTTATTATGTGTTGTTTTTATGTGTCATTTTATTGACTCATTTAAGTTCATTTACTCGGTTTCGTACCATATTTTTTTCATATAAGGACTAGTACTATGCAAATAGAGACAAATGATTTTGACGGTCTGAACCTGTGTTAGTTATTGTTACTAGTAGTAATGGCTTTATCCAATATTATATGTTTAGTGCAATATGGAATGCTCAGCAGAAATAATGAGGTATGACTTAAAAAAAACGGCAAACTAAAACGTTTTTTCTAGATTAAACCATGCAACTAATTTTCCAATAAACTAACCGTTATTTCCATTCGGTAATAGACATTAGAAATGCATAATATGCTAATTAAATATGTCCAGTAGTAATTCATAGTTGAATTAGTTGAATGACTCATTAGATGCCCAACTTTGAGATCAACAGGCTAGATTACTTGAAGATCGATTTTGTACTAACCGAATCGCGACACTACATATTATTGTTGAACAATCAATTTAATGAAACTAATCTCTATACATCAAGTTCCTTGACTATGAGAAAACGTTTGACAGTGTGGGTAGGAGAATGTTATGGAACCTTTGACACTGGTGTACCTGAGAATATCGTCAACACCATACAGAATCCATACGATGGACTACACTCCAAAGTCGTTCATGGGGGTATCTCACAGATGCATTGTAAGTGAAGATCAGTGTCATAAGCTTGCTTACTCCCTGTCTGTTTCCTCTGATGGTTTACTGGATTATGAAGACCTCCACATCTTAGGAAAATCACGGAATACAATGGACAGTTAGTATACAACTAGAGTATTTGGACTTCGCAAATGATCTGACCCTCCTATCCCATACATACGAACAAATACAGATGAAGACAACTAATGTAGCAGCAGCTTCTGCAATAGTAGACTTCAACATACACAAGGGAAAAATAAAGGTCCTCAAACACAACACGGAAAACGCCAACCCAATCACACTTGATGGAGAAACTCTGAAAGAGGTGGAATCTTTCACGTACGTGGACAGCATCATCGACGAACCAGGAGGATTCGATGCAGACGTAAAGGTAAGGATTGTAAAAGCAAGGGCAGCATTCCTACAGCTGAAGAACATATGAAATTCAAAACAATTGTCTGCAAGCCTACATTAAAGTCAGAATCATTAATTTGGACGTCTAGACAGTTCTATTGTACGGAACTGAAACGTGGAGAACTACTACAACTATCATCAAAAAGGTAAAGGTATTTGTAAACAATCGTCTACGTAAAATACTGAATGTTCGTTGATCGGATGCCATCAGCAACAGCCTACTGTGGAAGTGAACAAATCGGCTTCGAGCTGAAGAGGGAATTAGGAAGAGACGTTGGAAGTGGATAGGAAATACATTACGGAAATAATCAAACTGCACCACGAGGCAAGCTCTAACTTGAAATCCTGAAGGGAAACTGAAAAGAGGAAAACAAATAACATATTGTAACGTTTATTGAAATCGAACATCAAAAAAAAACTCAGGACAGAGTTGGATGGAGAATGCTTGTGGGCCTCTTATGCTCCCCCCCCCGAAAGTTAACAGGCGTAGGTTATCAAGTAATCTATAATTTTCTTGTTTTTATTAAATAAGTGATAAAAAGTACAATCTAAATTTCAAGAAATGTCAACTTTTTTCTTAGTTATGGAACATCAATATATTGTTTATCTCGATGCTTATAAATGTCCAATAAAAATTTACCATAATATTTCTTATTGTTTTCATTTTTTCTCATTCTCCTTTCCATTTTCTCTTTACAGGCTTGTATCTGTTCTTCCTCTATACTTAACATTTTTTTACCTGAATATCGTCGTAGTGGTTAGTAGCTGTTCAATATGAATAATTAGTTACTAACTAGTAACATTTTCCTGAGAATTATATATATATATATATATATATATATATATATATATATAACTAGCAACTATATATGGTTGCCTAAAAACCACAAATTGTAGAATACATTACAAAGCTATTCAAAAGCAGATTCATTTAGTATTGTTTTTATTTCATGATTAATTTATATTGTTATTATTATTATTATTTTTATTATTATTTTTTATTACATATCTTCTTACACTTTATATACATATATATATATATATATATATATATATATATATGTATATATATGTATATATATATATATACGTATATATTCCTCACTAGTTTAATCATCTACTATTATCCATTATTAGTGCCAATTTCACATAGTAGTAACAATATGATATGAATTTTGACGGTAAACGATTATAAAACTAATTATTGTCAAAAAAACAATACCTCTTTCATTTGTTATACTTATTACTCTCTGTTAAAGGAAACACTTATTTTCTCCTATATATATTTGTTTTATTGATATCACCTTGAACATTCTTTTTTTTAAAGTTTTTCTTTGAAGAGTTCATTTCTTTTTTGTGATAGTTGTTTACTCACAGATTTTTTAAATTTTCTTTCTATCTTGTTATTTCTCTCCTATTTCTTGATTCTGCACATTTCCAGAAGAAAAAAAAGAAGAAAAGGCATGAACATTGCACAGAGTTATCGTTATTATTATTATTATTTTTATAAAAACCGAAAGAAGAAATCAATTAAACATTCACTTTTTTTTGTCTTTTCTAAACTTCACTGCTGCTCATCTTTATTCAATGGAGGGAAAATTACAAATTATCAACTATTGAATTGTTTTTTTCGTTTAATTCAATGTAGATCTTCCTATTTATTATCATAGTGTTGTGTTTTGTTTGATTTCTTTTTTTTCTAGATATTTATTAAATAATTTATGATTTGTTTATTTCCAACTATATATACAACCATTGTTCTATATCATCATGATAATAATGATGATGATTAGTGTGTAAACTGATTTTGTTATCAATGAAATCAGTATGCATACATTCATCATTATTATCTGATTACGTACTTCTGTTATTTGTTTGTTTTCTTCGTTTGCTTCTCTTCTTTCTACTTATTTACTCACATTACACGTAAATGTAGATTTTTTTTACAAAGAAGTATGCGTATCACTTTTTTTCGGTGTATATACACAATCATTACCATCATTGTGCGAAGTACACTACGTATATATAGACTACTTAGATATATGATTATATTGATAATGATAGTATCTACGTTTGTTTCTTTTCTTTGTTTACTTGTTGGTATTTTGCATGGTTACTTAAGCATTATTTTCACAATAAACATTACTAAAGTATTGTTTTATTTTTTAAACAAGATTGGATTTTAGTATAATACATAATCTTTTTTGTTGTATAGTTCATATTTTAATTTATTTTACCTATTAGGGTTTGTTATTGATTGTTGCCTTATGACTACTGTTAGTACTATTCAGTGTTCAGAAGATGATATATCGGATTATGTTTGGTGATTTTCAGTATTATGTAATTAAAAATAAAATCGTTTGATTAGATAAGTGCCTCCAAATGCCCTGGTACAGCCGAGAGTGGGGAGAGTCCGCTCTCCCTCTCGGAATGCTCTCACATGGCCACGCGTATATAGCCTCTCCAATGGAAGTCCTACTCGTTGCCTTCTCTTGGCGGAGGTGTTGTTTACGAAATTGAGAAAACGAATGTGAATGTCCAGAGCTTTAACCGGGTTGGTGGACACGGTGAGTCCACCTAGGGGAGTTGGAAAACCCTGATTCCAAACCAATGATGCACATGATCTCCAGTATTCTAAGGGAACGATTGGCGTATGAATCAATCGTTGGTCACCGGCTACCATGGGACTGCATCTCCTCACGATGGTCCACTGCATTGTGGTTTAGACCTTTAGGTCAATGGCTCCGGGTGTGGCCCCTAAGAAAACCATCTGCTTCGGTTTGGGCACCTGGGCAGTATCACAGCCCTCACACAAATCAAACGAAATTTGTGCGACGCATATATATCTAATGCTTCTTTGTACCAATATTTATATGTTTAAATAAATAAATAGGCATTGAATTAAACAACAGGTAGCAGTTCAACTAGTCTTAAGCTACCCTTCAGTAACACTTTATCCCCAATTAACTCTAAAGGGAAATTCACAAAAGTCCCTTAAATTGCTGATCACCGACTATAATTGTATTCCTTTATAACAAGGCAGCATTTTACTCTGACGACTAAGAGGTTCTTTGTCTATCATCCAAAGATGTACAAGAAAGATCAGTCAGTCACAACGTAGAACCTCGTACGTACGTACATCAGTTCGAGTTGCCATACCACATGAGCACAGAGATGTAATTGTCGATTCAAATCCCATAGTGGTACAAGTAGTAAGAGTATAAACAGTAATTCGAAAGATTAGGGTTTGAAGTATAATATAGTGAAATAAATTTGGAAAGAGAAAAAAGATAGACATGAAGAATTCAGAAGATAAGAATTTGGGAGAACATGAAGAGTGGATATGCCTTTGCCATTGCAAACGTTTTTGAGCCATGTCATTCAAGTTCTTTAACCGTCGATTGCTATCATCTTGAGGATTCCAGCCACGTAGTCTACACCTACCAACATGGCTCGGTCCACTTGTCAGTGATTCCATGGATTTATGTCACGTCTTGGTCTGGTCGCCTCTAGCTTTCTTTCAGCCTACTCCTACACCATAAAACATCGTTCGTCGGGGCAGTCGGTGGTTGGTCATACGTAACACGTGTCCCAGTCATCTCAACTGGTGAAGTTTCACTACTTCATCAATCGATTTGCCATCCTTACCTAGTACCCGTTTCCTAATAACTGCATTACTTACCTGGTGGTCCCAGGATATACGAGCAATGCTTCGAAGACACCTATGATCGAATACTAGTAGCCTATGAGTATCCTCTACTCCTACCGGCCATGTTTCACTGCCATAAAGTAGGACGGAGCGAACTACTGCACAGTAAACCCGTCCTTTGGTTGCTAGAAGGATAATTATTGAGGCTAATTTTCGTGTTAGCTCCGTACTTCTTGGGACCTTACCGCCAGGGACAGAAATCCGTGGGATAAAGCGAGGTGTGTGTTTTTAGGGTCCACCTTTTCTAACCCCACCCTTCCTTGTGGAAATGCAACATCGCTGCAGATGCTGGTTGTCTGAAGGAAAAATCTTACTGCCACCACGCCTCTATACAGTCAGCAGTACCACTTCGCCCTCGGACCTTGGGTTCGCCGCTTTTGGTCTTATCGCTCTTCAACCGACCTGTCTGGTATAATAGGACCATGAAGAACGACTGTTCCAGCCAGTATAACTCTATTAGTTCGTTACGATATGCAAGCCCAACCACCACGTCAAAGTAGCAGCGACAGTCGGGTTGTATTTTATCCAGCATTTTCGTAAATTTTTCTCTTTATTTAATAGGTGACTAGTGTGTGTTGTAGCACAATTTTCACTGAAGATTCCATTTTATTCCTTTAGACTTGTGCATAACTGTATGCTACTGTGTACATGTCAGTGCACCTTAACCCATCAGATAAAATACACAAATATGGCAAAATCTAGGTACTGCAATGAAATCGGCGGTGAAGATTACGCCTCATTACCCAGCGTTTTTGCATTAACTAAATAGAAAAATGGCTAAGAATTTTCAACGCATCACGTATATTAAACATTAAAAAACATTGCCGATAATTCTATATTATATTGTTTTCCCTATATTTTCTTACATTAGATATGAATGTGTACATGTGTTAAAGAAAAGGTTTGGCGTAGATGTAAGAACAGTCCACTTATTCTAGAGAAACAAAAAGAAATCGAGACATTATTATCCAACTGAGAAATCGCTCCTGGTATAGCCGCTGAATTATTACTTGATATTGATCATAGACAGCCATAATACCCATATTATACATATCTATTTATCGTATATTTTTAATTTTATAACCATATAGGGAGTTTGAATTTTTTCTTACAACTTAATCTCAAAAATGCATTGAAAATTACTTTTAGTTGGTTTTCTCCGTAATTGCATTTCAGCCCAATGTTCATTGTTATTATTTGTCTTAGAAATGATCTCAGGTAATGGTTTTTACTTATTTCGTCACATTTAGCGATGATTTTTTTTCTTTTAATTTTCATTTTTCAATTACTTCTTTATTGGATATAGAATATAGGAAAAATTCAATTGGTTAATTCATTTGCAAATCACGTTCGAAATATCTTCAAATTTTGTTTCCACAGTCTTTTCTCTGAATTAAGTAAATGTGTTTATGTGTAAGACTCGACTGACCAGTCAATAAAATGAGTATGAGTTGGTGTTATCGGATTGATTTGTTGGAAAGTTTTAATTATTACACTGTGAATCTTCATATAAAAGTGATTAAAATAAGACATACAATACCATCTATCTTAAACTCAAAGTTTAGAAATCGGTTACCTAGTCTCGTTAAATAAATGATATCCTAGACGGTCGAGCAATATCCAGGATTGATTGGTGTTAACCTTGTACACTGTAAGATCCTAGATTAATGGTCTAAAGAGTAAACGTTCGCGCGCGAAACTGATGGTACCGGGTTCGATCCTCGATGGTGGGGTCGTAGATGCACATTATTAAGATGTCCAATCCAAAGACGAAACAGCCATACAGTGACTTAAAGTTTTGTCTAGTTTAGATCGGTTCATGTTCTTAATAATATCCTAATTTGTAGATGTGTTACTTTTTGAGTGTACTTCAAATGTCGTGAATGTTAATGTATCTGTCACATCACTTCCATATCCTTAATTTGTAAATTTAATTTTGACGTATTTTGTCCATACTCTTTATAGTTATCAAATGAACAAACCTTCATAACTCATTTCCACTGAATAGTTTAATTCATGAGTCGATTTAAACTAGACTACCACGGGAAACCTGGAAGCACTAGACGACTATTTCATCCTGGTATGGGACTCCTAAGCAGTGCGCATCCATTTGTTTGT